AATCTGTTCTGTTTGTACCACAAAGGAAGATGTAATTCCTTTCTAATATTTTATATAAAAAAATTTTTAAGTGTCCAGATTCAACATTAATATATACCAAAATGATAAACCAAAAACCTCACGATGGACTCAATAAATACTACAATTTTAACAGAGGATTTTCATGAAACTTCATTTAAAGTTCTATTTAATTCAATAAAAGCTTCTTAAAAATTTTTTTCCAGTTTCACCACCTTTTATTGGATATAAATCCATAAATGCTCTTTTAAAATGTTGTATTATTTCTGACTCTCTAAATTCATAAGGCAGATTTATAAATTCACTGGTGATAGCATGACCTTCATAAAGCAAACTGGTACACTTCTTTGAAATTCTGAGTTATTAAATGTATCAACTGTGTTTGTATACTTAATGTAACTTTTACTCTTGTTAAAGTTTCTAAAATCCAAAGTAGTTATTTAAAGAAGAATTTAAGCATTTACATACTGCTAAATCTTTGGGGCTTTTGAAGTATAGAGAAAATGAATGAGAGAAGTAATAATCTATTTAACAAGGTATGTTCCCAAAGAACCTAAAATAAGACCCTAAATAACACAGGGAATATAAATATTTAAAATGTAGTTTTATTCATTAATCACTTATTCCAAGTAATAACATAAAACATGAAAACTGTCATGAATATGCCTACATGTTAAACCTAATCAATTTGCTTAAATGAGGTTATAAATAAAAACCAATCCCAGCAAACCGTTAAGGAAGCTTTTTTCTCTCGAGAAGAGTAAGCAGACTACATATATTTATATTTAAAAAATATATTTAGCAGAATACATAAGTACATGTATATCTTTTATATACATGTATAGAATTCTCTAAAATCAAATATTCAAGTAGCAGAATGTAATAAAATGTACTTCACACAGAATCTAATTTTTTATAATTTAGAAGGACATCAAGAGAATAAACCATCACAAAATTTTATATCTAAACACAAGCTATCCAAGTACTTACTTTCCTACTAGATTCCCAGGATAGTGGGGAATATTTGTTGGATCAATGAATAAACTCATTTTGTTTTGTTTGTTTCAGAAGGCATACTTAACAGATGTGATTCAATCAACCTTACTTTAAATTAATTAATAGTAAATATTACTAGTCAATTGGCTTACTCATTTTCTTACCTACGAAATGTAGTTAAAATATACTTAAAAACTCCATTTGGAAAAACATTTAGGATCAATCTTTTTCTTCTTTACATATAGAAGTCAATTTGCAAGGTCAGGAAACAAATATTGCTGCTTTCATTATCCCTTTCCTCATTACTGGGCATCCTCTAAGTACTTAGCACTAAGTTGGGTATTGGTTTGCTATCAGGATATATGAACAAATAGGAAATACAGACAACAAATAAATTTCATTCTTTCTTCCTTTCAAGGAAGCCTTAGAAACCAAACACTGAAGACAGTGCTTCACTTTTATGGAATGAACTGAGTCCCTGAATGCCTCCATGGAACTAAAGAATGCATGGAACATTCACATTTTGTGACAGATGTCATAAGACATAATATATAATTCTGAAACTAGAGTTTATAATAAAAAACATAGATGAAGCAGTACATATATGTTACAGTGCTGTCTACCTAGAGGAAACATCCCTAGAGCAAGCCAGTAAGCCCTCAAAGCAGTGATGGTATTTGGGTTGCCATCAAGGAAGTTTGCCATGGGTATGAACACTAATTTGTTTAAACACCTTAAAAACATCTCCTAGAAAATCATGAAACCGGGATCAAATCATTGCTTTTCCACTAATTAATTTGTCATTGAGAGCAAACAATTAGACATTTGTAAGTTTTGTTTTCTTCATTTGTAAACAGATAGTTGTCCACTAAGTGAAAGGGGCGGGCCCACGAGCACTCAATACATGCTTGTCAACATTCCTTCAACCACCCACCCACACACACCTACTGACACAAGGGTTTCAAACTCATATATAACTGGTAAATATATATATAAAAGACAGTGCCATCATATTGGTGGTATAAATAGGTTTTTACAAGACCTATATATTGGATTTTTAAAAATCTATTTGAAAACAAGATAAAAAAAAACAACATTTTAAACCATGCTAAAGGAAAATGAAGCCAAACTAAATAAATCCTGAACAGTAGGTCTTCAAATGTATATTTCTCCAAGTTTGTTTTCTGTCACACATTTAGAAATAGCAACATGTTTTCCCATAAAAACAAAGTTTAAAATTCTCAAGCCAGCTTGCTTGAATATAACCAAAACATACACTTAGTTTGTGTTAGATGACCATTTAGAGAAAAGCATTCACTGGAATATATACTCAAAATTCCAGCTTGGGGTGATCCTTGGGAGATGTCTCTGTCTAGTAAAATCCAAGTAGAAATCCCACAGGGACTTCCTTTCACAAGCTATGAATAACTTCTCACCTACGAGGATATTCTACTCAAGATACAGGACTCTACAGAACATTGTCTGCTCTTTTGTACCTATTCTACCTCCAAACTCCAATAACAATCGCAGATAATTCCTTAGGAAAAGGATAGAAATAGGGGTGGCATCAGGGGAGGAGACAAGAAACAGGCTTGTCAGAAGAGTGCTTAAAAAGTAGGCAGGCACTGGGATGTGACAAAGAAATGAAGAGGCTTTCTTTCTTATCTCTCTTTTTTTTTTACACACTACCACTGAAAAATCAAAACAGCAAGTAAGGGCCAAGGACTAGCCTTGGGAAAAGCAGGTCTGAACAACATGGAAGTTCTGCTACAGTGGCAACTGGATCAAAGTTTCCCTTCCCCTACTTCTCACTGCTGAACTACTACTACAAATAAGAATGATGGCATTCAATCCTCCTACTACATTGAGTTCTTTAAGGACAGCTATCATCCTGCCCAGCTTATACCCTGGTGCCTGAAACAGTAGGTAGTCAATAAATGTGTTAAATGAATCAATAAATATAACTGTAGTGGATGCTGTGATTCATCCTCCAGAACCCCCTTTTAACCAAAGGGCTTATTTTCTTAGCTTTTGGGAGTACTGCTAGCAGACAGCCCTCAGCTTCAGCCCTCTTAGGGACCTGTCCAGCTTAAGAGAGCAATCTTGGCCCAAGATCAGAGCCCCCCTCCTGGGGCAGCTTGCATCTAATAATTGGTGATATAAAGGTCTAACTCCCTTCACCCCAACTTAAGACAATTTTGAGGACCATCCCAACTTTGTAACTCCCCATGGGGTTCTTGAGATTTTATCACAGTCCAACTTCTCCCAGAGAAATTAGGCTTCCTTCCTCTCTGAGGTATTGGTCCCAAGAGGTCTCCCTAGTAAATTTACTGTACTCTAATTTCCATCTCACAGTCTGCTTTTAAGAAACCCAACCTGAGATGACAGTCCAAAAGAGGATCTAGATCTGACACAGATTTAAGATGCCCAAGGAAGAAACATATTTAACATCGTATTAAGCTCAGTAAATATAAAAGGCTATACAAAGGTTAAGGAATGAATACTTTAATACCTAGCTCTTTATTTTCATTTCAGCAACTTGAAGTAATCAGGAAACCTAAAGTATTTCAAGGCCTGCCTCAGAAAAGTTCATCTGTTTTACTCTCATGTAAGCTATTAATGACAAACTATACCAAGTTCAATTCTTGTTTAACTTAAAAGAAAGCAAAAAATTAATAAACATTAATGAATTTAGTGTAAACATGTTATAAAACACTGTAGAAAACAGGGCTATTCTTATTGTGGGTATTAATCAACATCTGACTTGGTAAGAAATTGCTTTTCAGCTAAAAGCTATTCAACATATTAAATGTAGTACTTTTAATAGCAATTAACAGAAATTCCAATGCTTACCTAAAAGTTATTTTTAGTATATGAAGAGTTACAATTTACCAGAACTATTCAAGACACAGCTGGGTAAAAAAATAAAAGAATAAGCAACAAACTATTTGCTTTATCTAAATACAACTCCATTGGACTCAAGCTATTTGGGCTCAAATAATACCTTAACCTTGTTAGAATAGTTGATGAGGTTTAACTATTAAATTGAAGCTCAATAATTACTTCAAGTACATAAGCACTCATTTTGTTTTAGATTTTTTTTTAACCATAAGACCACTTGCCAATTTGCTTTACAGCATGGCCAGCACTAGCCATGCTTCCTAATACCATCTAATAATTTGTGTTCACTAGTAAAATCTGGAGATTTTGCCAAAGTGTATACACACCAACATCCACTTTCCTACAGAAGTTAAATGAGTGGTCTATATATGGAAAAAGTTTCAATCCATACTTCCTGGAAAATGCTCCAGAAGGCATTTAGCAGATACGTATATACCGTATATTCTTCTTGCCAAGATAAGTGACTATTAATTCTATCTGTAAAAGTTTCAGAAAAAATACCTGGACCTGAATCATCTGCTATGTGTAAATTTAAGAAGCATGCCAAGTGACACTGAATACCAGTGTGCCCTTTGCCATATTACTGCCACAATATGATCTCTTCTGCAGGCAAGTTTTGAAAGTCACAAAATGATATTTAATCAAAGAAAATTAAAAATGGCAGGTTACTTAGAGGATCAGGTGCCAGTTCATTAATTTATTTAATCCTTAGCTTTTCTATCATAACATAAAAGTCAGTCACTCAGAACTCATCTTTATTTTTAAGACTGCTTTTATCTAATTAAGCTTCCCTCTGAGTATTTTCTCCATATTTCTTTGTTGTTTCCTTTTGCAAGGAAATGCATTAAAAATCATTATTATTAGCTTCATATATAACAGCATCATACTTAATTACTTGCCAAACTAAATTAAATAGCTTATAAGTCATTTTATCTTACGATTTTTTTTAAAAAGATGATGGTAGTCTGCAATCATTTAGAAGGCCGCTTCCTAATAGCAGATCCTTCTTTAAATACCGAGAAACAGAATTCTCTTAAAATTTATGTTATAAAAAACTGAGATGTATTAGACCTTTGTCATCTTACCATGAACACTTCCTAATGTAATATCCCCAGCAGCAGAAGACAAAAATGAAGATTCTGTATAAAGATACTTGGCTTTCAGGGAACCATCATCAGTAGATATATTAATAAAACTTCCCTGCAGTTTATCCACGGTCACAGTCTAGTAAGAGAAAGACTCAAAATTAGTTCATTATACAACAAAGACTGGTTAAAAAGCCAACATGGTAACTACAGAATTAGTGGGCAACTACATAAAAAAGTTACTACCCAGGACACAATCACCTTATTGACTTTCATTCCCTAGCTCTCATTACAAGATTGTGAGCAACAGTGTATTCTCTGTGTAATGTGGAATAGATCCATTATCTTTGATTTATTTATCTTCTTTAATTACTCTTAATAATGTTTAGTATTTTCTACATAGCATTCTTTATCTTCTGTTAAATTGACTCACATTTGATATTTTCTAAGTGCTGTTATAAAAGGTATCTTTTTTATACTTCATTTATCTTAAGTGGCTTTTGTATTTGACCTTAAATCTAGTAACTTTATTAATTTTAATAATTTACCTGAATTAAACAATTTTTTCTATATGCATAATCATATTGTCTACAAGTATTAGTTTCATTACTTCCTTTCCAATCCTTATATTAATACCACTTTCACCTGTTCAAAAAGACCTGAAACTACAAGTGTTGGTGAGGATGTAGAGAAAAAGGAACCCTCCTACACTTCTGGTGGGATGGTAAACCAGTGCAACTACTATGGAAAGTAGTACAGAGGTTTCTCAAAAAATCAAAAACAGAAAAAAGCACATGATCTAGCAATTCTACCAGAACTACCAGAAGTAGTTCTGGTAGTTTACTTAAAGAAAACAAAATCACCAATTCAAAAAGCTATACACATATTTGTGCTTATCACAGCATTATTTACAATGCCAAAATATGGAAGAAACTGAAGTGTCTATCAATGACTGAGTAGATAAAGTGAAATCTTGCCATTTGTGACAACATGGTTGGACTTAGAGGGTACTATGCTAAGTGAAGTAAGTCAGAGAAAGACAAGTACCATATGATTTCACTTGTACATGTAATCCAAAAAAAAAAACCAAGCAAATGAACAAACAGAAACAGACTCACAGACAGAGAGAACAGACTGGTGGTCACCATAGTGGGAAGGATGGGGGAAAATTGGTGAAAGGGGGAAAAATTATTGAGAAATGTTCCATATTGTGATCTGGGTGATGGTTTCATGAGTGTATAGACATGTCAAAATTCATCAAGCTGTACAATAAGATTTGTGTATTTTATTGTACATAGATCAATAAAAAAATACATAACTTAAAGAAAATAGTGTAGGGGGAAAGCTTTTGGAGAACAGTAATGCTATCTAATTGTGCCATCTTGTGGAAAATACTGAAGAAAGTTGAGTTCTGAAACATCTTTCAACTACCTAAAGGCAGTCAACAGGTCTTGGAAAAATACTCAAATAAACCTAACACATTAGAAAAATTTAATCCCAATTACAGTAGTATTACTTAATGACTGACTTTAATCCATGGTCATAAAAATAAAAATCTCTTTAGAACTAGAAGTAAATATTAAGCATTAAAGGTATTATAGACTCCAAGTAAGGAATGAAATAACTGTCAAAAGTATTATATCACAAATTAAATTTAAATTGTATAATATTTAATTATCTCGATTTCAAATTTGAACTTGCTAATGAGCTAATATGCATTAAGAGGTAATTTTATGCCACAAATTTTGTAGAACATAACCATTGTGTAAGCCAACTTAATGCAAAATCGTGTTATTAAAAAAAGGTTTGATCTTACACTTTTATCTGATGCATAGATGTCTGTATTTCCATAAACTGTTCCCAGACAAAAAACTTTACCTCCTTTTGTTTGAACATGTAATTTCTGACTCTGAAAGACAAGTACAAAAATACATATAAAGAATAAATTTGACTTATACTAATAAAAAATTTTCCAAAATTTTATATATTTCTTTTAAAGTAATAATAAAGCAGCAAAAGAGGAATGAATAGAAGGTACTACTTGGATTAATAGCATCACCTAAAAAAGAATGTCAACTGCTGTTAAAGAGATTAAATAAGCCATCTACAACCAAAGGGAAAAAGAAGAGATACATGGATGTTCCTGTAGCTCCACTAAGGAAGGGCTTGGAAAACAAAGTTATCACTGTGATTGGCTAACTAAACATATAATCACTATTACTTTTCATCATTATTAATACTCATTTTATTAATAACAATAGTAACCACTTATGGCTTTTTCTTTGCACTAAATACAGTGTTCACTCCTTTACATGAACTATCACTTAAACCTCACAACAATTCAGAGAGAGAAGTGTTAATTTTTCCCATGTTACAGAGGAAGAAATCCAATAATTAGAAAGGTTAAATAACTTTATTAGGTGACATAGTTAGCAAACAACAAAATCTAAACTAACATTTAGAATAAAGCTCTGTATGATTTCAAAACCCACACTCTTGTGGCTGGCATCACAAGACATTCAGACTTAGGGTATACATTCACATTTAGGGTAAGAGCCCACTGACCGTTGAACTTTCTAGTACAACACACTGTAGCTAAGTGAAAATGCCTCTACACATTAATAAAACAGCCATCACAGCTGGCCTCCTCTGCCAGACAAAAAAAACTGTGTGTGTGTGCATGTGTGTAAGACTTGATTTCACACTTAGCCACTGTGGCAGAAACTACTGTTGCTCCACTGAAATCCTTTTTTTTTTCCAAAGTAATAGGAAGATAGTTGGGTCCATGAAGAGATATTTTCCAGCCTCCTTTACCTCTTAGTTGTTCAGTGAGCTCTTGCCAATAAAATGTTAAGTGGCAATGCTATCCAGACTAGTGATTTTAGGAGATACAATTTTTTAATAATTTAATAACAATTTAACAATAATAATTTGATCATTTTAAAATATGGTTACACTTAGAAGATGGACAGAACCTACAATCATTGATTAGAAAAGAGCCACCCACATATTTGACACAAGTGAGAAATAAGCTAAGATTGTATATGAACCATTAGATATTTGGTCTATCTTTAAAAGTAGCTTAGTTCACCTTAACCATTTACATATGGCTTCAGCTCTGACCACAACTATAAAGAGGAAAGAATAGGTAAATAACAGAGGAAGAAAATTACCAAAAACAAATTCACCAATATCATGACCAGCAATAGCAGAGAAGTGTAAAATGCAGGGAGAAAAAAATTTGAAACAACCATATACAGGAAGAAGAAAAAATAGAAAAACCTTATGTGAAATAGCCCAGTAATGAATTTTTGAAATTCAGTGAAAAGGGCTAACTGAATCATTCTTAAAAAGTTTATCTGTATTACAGCATGATAGACTACTTCATGTCCACAGAGACATGAGTCTGCAAAGTGTACTTAATATGAAAGCTATATCAAGCAGGTAACTAATTTATGATCTTTTGAAGAGAGTATCTCCAAAACAACTGTTATTTTATATCAAGAGTTCTTAATCAAGCTCACACAAATTTTTAGAGTCTGTAAAACTTATGAAATTGTAAGCAAAATTCCATATGCACATGCATTTTTTCCCAAGGTGACAATCTTCAGATTTTCAAAGAGGTCTAGGGCTCAAAAATGTTAAGAGCTATTACTATATTTTAAAGTTCATCTAATTCCAAAACAATGTGACATTTATAAAAAAATTTTAAATATGTAAAACAAAATACTTTATAAGAAGATATAAGCTATTATACTACATTTTTTTAAAATGCAAATGTTTGATATTCAATGAGTTAAAGGTCTGTTGCCTAAAAAAAAATCATTTACCTATTCCCTAAGAATGCTAATATATTTTGCTTGGATTATAAAGAATTATAAAGGAGGTTGGAAATGAGAAAGACCCAAGTTCAAATCTCAGCTCAATTTATTAGCTATGTGAACCTAAACAACTTGATTGTTATCTTGGGGCCTCATAGCTTCTTCCTTGATAAAAGGGAGATAATTAAACAATTAAATGAGGGCTTACCTAAGTTTCCTGGTACATAATAAGGATTCAGTAAATAATAGCTATAACTATTATTATATTTTATCACTTAGATCAAATACATTTCAAGTCCTTAAAATGAGTAGAGACAAACTTATATTAATAGGTGATTATTAATTCAAGATAATGATATCATACATATTTAAAACTTAAACCAGTTATTTTAAGTGTTCCCATTTGTGCATTTAGTCAGTTAAATCCTAAGATCTCAAGAATTTTCTTAACTCAACCCTTGGAATACCATTTGGATCCAGAGGATGACCCAATTTTATTCAAGAAGCTCTTGAATTTCTTTTTTGAACTATTCTATTTGTAAGGGCTGATATTTCATGACTTTTGTTCTTTCTTAGAAGTCTTCCAAAGAATAGAAAATTTACATATTTTTTCAAAATAGAATAAAACTCATTCTATTTTTAAATTACCATATTGGTCCACTGTAAACCTAAAGTACATTAGTTATCTTAGTCTTACATCTTATAACATTTCCTATATCATTATCCTAGGAGTTCTTTCATCATTATTCATAAATTATTAATTAACTATGCTAAAGTAAGGCTGACATGATAAGACAACAGAATGATGATGGACTTGCGTAGAATGGTGGTTCTCAACTAAAGGTGATTTTATCCCCCAGAAGACATTTAGCAATGTGTGGAGATACTTTTCATTGTTGTAACTGAGGAGCATGCTACTAACTTGCAGGCAGAGGCTAGGGAAGCTGGTAAACATCATACAGTGCACAGGTCAGCTCCCGACTACAGAGAGTTATGCAGCCCAAAATGTAAACAGGGCCAAAGCTGAGAACTCATTTCTCAGCTAATGCCCTTAATAGCAGAAAGAAGACAACTGACAAAGAGGTCTTTCAGAACTATGAGATGAATCATAAGAGAATGCAAAGAGACAGCAGCATACAAGCTTCTTATTTTGTGTAATTGAAAATACAAGACTCTGAGTCTTCAGACACAACACTCTGGTTGAATTCTGTGAAACTCAAGCATTGATGAGTGAACAATATATTTCTAAGGACAAAAAAGGAACTCTGGTATTCTCATCTAGTCAGTCATCTAACATGAAGACTTCTTTGTGCAATCTTTTATAAGAACCCAACCATGTCATTTTGCTAAAGGCCATGTAATAGTATTCTTTAATCTTATATGGTATTTGTATAACGATTTATTTGAAATGGTTCATATGTGGACAGATGCTGAAGTCAGATGTGCAAATACAGGTGGCTGGAGCAAAACAAGTAACATAAAATTGTTTAAATGTTTTGCAATTATGAAGCAAAGCTGACTAAATTCTCTTCAGCAAAGTTACATGCCATCAAAGTTCACAAATGTATTATTTTGAATATGTAAATGTAAGAAGTACCAGTAGCAACAATAAGCTAGAACCTATCAGAGATGTGTCTGAAATCATATATAGCTGAGACCAATGTAATTTTAAGAAAATTAAATATAAAAGTATTATTACAAAACAAGATGAATTATTTGTTGTTCAGCACAAATACCTAGTTAATCTTTTAAGGGGCTACCTAGTACTTTAAAAATGTGATTCATCTAATATTTTAAGCACATTTATAGTGTTTGAAGACTTTTCCTTCCTCTTACATGAATGGAAGAAAAATATTCCTTAAAATTAAAATTTCTTTAACTTAATAAGATCTCAGAATACTAAAAATATACTATTAGTTTCACTGTATATTTCGAAAAGAAATCTAAAGGGAATATGAGGAAAAACCTTCAAAGTTGATACAAACTGTACTTTCAGAACAGAACTGATTTCAAGATAAATTTTTGGAAGGAAATTCTGAGTGTGATGAATAAATGATGCTCAGTTTTCTCAATACATGATACTCAGAATAATGACTTTAGTTTGATGCTACAGTTTATAGTTTAAGGTTTTTAAAAACAATAATATTGAAACAAAAGTAGAAAAATGCTTATACCTTCACAGATTGTAAAATGCTGGTCCCCTGTTCAGTTTCAATTTTGCAATTATCACACTCAATATTTTGGATTTTTACACAGCCAGATCCTGATGACTTGATATTCAAATCTAGAAATGAAAAAAGAGAAAAACAAGTTAGTACTATGGTTAATTGACTCCAAAGCATTTTAGTACCCCTAGAAATCCAGCTCTTCAATTATGCCCATATTACTGAACCCTGGAGAGAACACCATTGTTAGCAGTCTCTCTCTAAAGGTAAGGAGTTCTCTTCCATGGCAACAGGACCAAATGTTAGCAATGCCCTCTTCTGCCAGTTTTTAGAAATAAAGCAGTTATTTCCGTTGGCCTGTATCATGTACAGAGAAAAAGTAACATAAAAGGGAAGTAAAGGAGATGACAAACTTATATACACCAATTGTTATAGACACTCCTGGGAAAGATCATAGAAGCCCCTTTCCTGCTGAGAAGAACACACACACACACACATGCAAAGAAGAAAACAGCAAGCTAACAAGTCATTATGGTAAATTTGGTAGTCAGTGAGCCTATTCTCTCTCCCATTCATTAAGAGTGAAAGATTTAATACCAAACCTCCCCAAATGTAATCATATTGTGAGAGCAGCATGGATAAGTATATATGATCATGATTAAGGTTTTCAACTCCTTCTTTAAACTTTCATATCTAAAAAATGAGTATATTACCATACAGCTACATCACAAAGTATCTGAAGTAATAAAAAAATGAAACAACTTTGAAAAACCTAGTACTAAATAGTATCATAACCTCAAGATTGTGGATAAATAGCTGACTTCTGAAGAATGCATGGAAAATAAGAAGTCAGTGCCATTTTAGCTGTCAATTAAGGTGTAACCTTAGATGTCTATACAAAAACTAAAAATAAAAAAAGTGATGCTTAATACCTAATTCAAATAAATATTGAATTAAGCCTTAAACCAGACTAAGGAAGTAAACACTATGTTGCCCCAAACATAAACTACACAAATACCATAATTTCAATAGTTATGGCAAAGATCAGTTTCCACAGTTATTCTATACTGTCATATACACAGCTTTATATATCCTGCTATAAAGTACATTGCAGTCTTTATAAAGCTTTAAAATAACAGCAATATTTTGGTTGGGATTAATCTAAAATATATCTAAATATAAAATATATACAATATAAATATATATAATCTAAAATATATAAAATACTTACAAGAAGGTAACTAATAAATTTTTACCCAGTTAAGTAGTTATAACATAAGGCTTGATCTAAGGCAGCATTGATAGACACAGAGAGAAGGAAATACTCTAATTATACTCTACCCTCACTAGGTAGGTAGAGAAATTAAGGCTAGATACTGAGTGGAAGCAACACTGCTTTCACCCTTTCACTTAAAACAGGTATAGACAAACTGGAGGAACAAGTTAAGTATGAAAAAATTGAATTATGTTGATTGAGGGACCTGTAGAACAGACATATGGAAACAATAAATTGGAAATGGGATTCTGGCTCTAAAAAGAGGAATCTACAAATAATGAGGTTTGAGATCACCAGCACAAGTACTTCCATTTTTATTGGTGCTGCCATAAATTTTTGCTTATCTCTATTTCAATACTCAATCTATTTGTACTGCCATAACCAATGGACAGGTCTTTCTCCCCAACCTAGGCTGTTATATTTGAGGTCAGGGTCTCTTGTTTATATATGCTAGTTAAAAGAAACTAAGAAGTAATAAAGCATAGTGGTTGAACAGACTCCAGTCAGTTTAAATCCCGGTTCCACCAATTTATATCTGAGAGAAAACAGGTATATTTCATGATCTACCACACCATAAGTTTCACTAAGTCATTGATTTTTGTGTATTTGTTTCACCCACAATAATACTTTATGAAATTTGTTTCAATTTCCTTGTCTGAAACGGTGACAATAACAGTTTCCATTTTATAGGTAATTTTAAGAATTAGAAAGGATTATCTTAGAAGTGTCTGCTGCTATTATGATGAATATTATAATTATAGTATTATGATGATCCTTCAGTCCCAAGAAGGAGGAGAACCTGGGGAGACTTCCCTAGAAGTGTTGTGTACATTTACGTGGCTTACATTTGAGAAAAGACGGAACCCAAATACTTAGGAAACATATCTTGCAGGCATTATCAACTGAAGTTTCTAAGGCAGTCTTACTATGTGTTTTTCTTCAAAACCTGCTACTCATGGAAAATTCACTTAGGCCAAAATGCATGGAGATCTATCAGTAAGAAGCGGGGCACCCATCTGAAACCAGACACTTGGTCCAGGTTAAATAAACATGGGGCTGTTTTGGGGCAGACCCCAGGCTCTGAGCAAGGGCAAATGTGGATAGCCTGCTGCACCACTGAATGGATAATAAAGAAATTTCATCCATGAAAAAAACCTACCTTGACATTGACAAAGTGCAGTGACAGAAATGGGAACAAAGTGCCATAGGAGAACATATGGGGACTCCACAAATGTTATTTGACTTAGATTATTCCATATCATATTTCCATTCGATTTATAAAATTTCTGTAATTGGGAACCTAATAACTAACTACTACTCAGAAACTCAAAGTAGAAGAGAAAAAAAGAGGCAGCTTCTGACGGGTATTAAGTGTAAATTAGGTTAGAAAGTCAGATCCAAAGGGACCAACTATAAGTGCACGTCATCCTAATTTAAGAAGTTCGCTGGGTGTGCGCGGAAGCCCCAGCCCAATTTAACTCCACTTCACTTGCCAAACTTCAGGGGCGCGTTCACCTCCACGAACGCCTGGGGGTCGATGGTGTCGGACAGGATGGCCACCTCCTTCAGCGCCGCGTCGTACTGCACCTGCAGGCCGGCCACGTCCCGCGCCCCGCCCTCCACGCCGCTCACGGCCACCAGCACGCGGTCGCCGTCCGGGCAGCCGAGGGGGTCCAGGGACCTCACGGCCAGGTGGCACGGGAGCCGCGCCCGCAGCCGACCGAACGGGCTCACCTGCAGGGCCCACTCCTTCGCGGTCCGGCGCACGCGGCCAGGCGGAGCGACCTGGGGCTCGGACCCGGGCCGGCGGTCTCCGCACCATGAGCCGTACAGCCGGGTCTGACAGCACCCGGCGGCCTCGCCGATCCACATTTGAAGCTGACCCGGCCGGAGGTAGCCGAGCCCCCGGCCCGAGCGCGAGGAGAACATGGCGCGCCCTCTCGCACTCCTTCACATGACCTCAGCCTCAGGCCAGTCTCGCCACGGCTGGCGACTGGGACCACAGGGTCGGCTCAAGTCAAAGGAGAGTCTTTTGCGAAGGATTTGCTGAAGTAAGAGCAAGACTGCTCTCTTAGTCCGACAATCTCAACCTCAGCCGCACGTGCTTCCAGGTTAAATTGAGATCTCAAAGCTCCAGCCCAGGCAACCAGTCCGGGACTCCTGACCGGCCTCCGCCCCCATTCCCAAGGGCCGATGGGATAAGTAGTTCTAAGGGGCCAGACATAGCCGGGCACCTTAGAAACTACATATCCCAGGAAGCATTGTGCAGGGTGGTTCGATAGTAACAGCCTCAAGCCCACTAACCATTGGAGAGACCGGAAAAAAATGTCTGCGTAGGACTCCAATTGGCCAATGGAAAGCGCGGAAGGGTAAAGGTAATCCAGGCTGTGTGGTTTCCTTGGATACCGAAGACGTTACTTCTTTGGAGAGGGTGGAGCTTTGGAGTGAGACCCTGCAGGCCGTAACCCACGGAGAAAAATAGCCTAAATAAGGAAGGGGTAAGAAACTGCGCTTTTAAAATCGAGAACTAGATACAAATTAGGAGTACACTCCCTGGGTGGTTAGATATAAACTTCACCAAACTAGTGCGGCGAACCCTGGGATGGAGAATCCCGTCGAAAGAGGATAAAGAACAAGACTGGTGGTTTTGAAGAAATCCCCTCTCTGACAGCAAATGCAAGAATGGCCTTAGGGCCCTGTCTCCTGCTTGAGTCTAAGAGACCTTAGACCAGTCATTGGACCTCTGAATTTTAATTGCTTGCTCTTAAAATGAGAATAATACCTTCCTTGTCTTGCCTCAAAGGGTTTTGTAAGGATCAAATGAAATAATGGATGTGAAATCCATGCACAAGTTACAAAATTGCAACGTAAACTACTGTATTTTTATTTTAGGGAGAGCAATAAGACTAAGTTAGCAAGAAAACACAGTGAGACCAGGACTTGTGTTGACAGCAGCATTGATCTCTATGATAACGAATGATCCTCGGTTTTAGGGCTAAAATAAGACAAAAAAAAAAAAGAGAGAGAGAGACAGATTCAAAGAGAGAGAGTCAACAGTGTGCAATGCGAAAAGCGTGAGACTGATTATCTTCCTAGCTCTACCCCTGGTGTATCTGGGTTACCTGGCCCGTGTCTTCAGCTTTAAAATGAAGAAGGATTGCACTAAATGGCTCTCTAAGGCCTCTTTTATTATTCTGTGGGCAATTTTTAAAACTTTAGAAAGGTTTATTTCCTCCTTATCTCTCACTTTCTGTGTGCCTTCCTCCTCCTACAAATTATTCCCTACGTTCTTTAGCAAAGACACACTGCAAACAATGACGTTTAATAAAATGCAGGTGCTAAAACTGAATCCTATAAAAAATTGAAACCCTTGGCCAAGTGCAATAACCTGAATTATCGGGAGCTATAGTGGTGGAGAGATGTGTCAGAGTCCTAATGAGCTGGGCTAAACTTATCATGGTCCAAGTCACAGGGTTCTTTGCTAGCCATCACCTTTTAAAAAATTCACTGTTTTCTTAAGTTATCCCTTCCTCCATTATGTCTTATTAGCTCTTCCTCCCTCATTTTTCCTCCTGGTGAAGGCTAGTGCTAGCTGCTAGCTTTTTCAGGTTCCCACTGAATACTAGTCCTGTCCTTGGCTTTGTTCTTCATTTGGTCATAATTATTTAGGTTCATCTTCAAACTGTCTTTTTAACGAAAACTCACAGGAATATGTTTGAAAAAGGCATTGGTTTAAGAAAGTTGAGAATGCAGGCATATTTGGACATGTGCCAAATATTTTTAGATTAAATAGGAATCCCTAATAGATAATTTTGTTTCTATGGTAATTTTTCCTTTTCTGAAACAAACCAAATTAATGGAATTGGCTACTGAAGCATAATTGTCTTTGTAACAAAATTCTTGTTTTACTATTTTCAACTAAAAAAAATAAAAATAAAGAAAATTGAAAAATCATTTTTCTAATAGAGTTTGAAAACAGAGAAATTATTGATATTAAAATTAATATAAGATACTAAGTTATTGATACTTTAAGAAGCCTAGTGATTTATGTATCAAATCTTTCCACATATCAATAATGACAAATAAGAATAATACCTTCCATCTGTATGACTTCAGTTTTCAAAGCAAGTTGGCGTGTGTCACACCACAGATGGTATCCTCACAAAACACTCTGTTTTGCAGAACAGGTATAATCCTCACAGTATAGATGAGGAAACAAATTCAGAAAGATTATGATTAAACAATTAGGAGTTTGGCCCTCTTAAAGCCCTATGAAAAGGTCCTTTTATCTTCCTGACATCTTTGAAGAAAAATAATTACTCATCAAATAAATAGGAAATAATATAAAACCTCCCCCCCCCCTTATTTAGAGTTTACTTGTAAGGTATTTTTACATCCCAGTTTTTAAAAAGGCATTCTGTGGTTGTGGACATATGCTGCTGGTGGGAGAGTAAATTATTACAAACTTTTCAGAGTTCAGTTCAGCAATTTGCATAAAGCACCTTAAAAGTATGTGTATCCACGACCTGGAAGTTGTACTTTTTGGAATTTAATGTTAACATAAAACTAGGGATATTAAAAAATTGTTGTGTTCAGGGAATTTTGTTTTACAGGGTTACTTATAATAGTAAAGAACTGAAGCAACTTAAATGTCCAAAAATAGGAGTGTGTTACATAAGTTAGTATATAGCTGGAATATTACGCAATGATTTAAAAAACTATTTTGAGGGCTATTCAGTGAATTGGGAAATCTTACAGAATATAATTGTAAAGTAAAACCCTATAGTTCTCCTTCTCTGTATGTCTCCTTTACTCCCACATTACTACTACAGTCACATCTTACTTCTGACACTTCTGGTCACCAGATGAGTGGGGTTTTCCCCACAGTAAGCAATGCTTCACACTACCAGCTCAGTATCCTATAATTTAACTCAATTCTGGCCAATTCTACCTGGAGATAGTGTCAAATCCAAAGGTTAAGGCTTAATCTTTCAGGCTGCTCTTACCCACTTCAGATGCCAATATCAAGTAGTAGGTTCGTGGATTACCCACAACTTCTGTCCAATTTAGCTACAAATCAGAGGTTCCCATAACCCCCTCCTCAGGCTCAATTTGCTGGAGTGCCTCACACACTCAGGGAAACAATTTATTAATGGATATGATAAAGGATACAAACAGCCAGATGAGGAGATACATAGGGTCTGGGAGGGTTCGGAGAGCAGGAGCTTCTGTTTCTGTGGAGTTGGGGTGAATTACCCTCTCTGTATGGATTTGCAGACCAATTTGGAAGCTCCAAACCCCATGCTATTAGGATTTCTATGGAGGCTTCATCATGTAGGCATGATTGATCATTAACTCCATTTTCAGCATTATCCCTTCTCCAGAGAATGGGGGTGAGGATGGAAATTTCAAGTTCTAATTATGGCTTGTTCTTTCTGGTAACCAGCCCTCATTCAGGAGCCATCTAGAAGCCCACCAAAGTCACCTTCTTAGAACAAAAGACTCCAGCCACCCAGGAAATTACAAGGGCTCCAGGAGCCCTGTGTCAAGGGCCAAACTCAGAGACCAATATGGATTTTTTCTTTTATCTCACAGTAACAGTAAGTGAAAAGAACAGAATGCCAAATTGTATATATAGTATGATCCCAATTCTTTAATAATAATAATAGTAATTATGACATAAAATTATATTTAAAATATATTACATAGAAACAATTACAGAGGGAAATATACAACTTGATAACTGATTATCTCTTAAATGGTGAGATAATAAATTATTTCTTCATTTTTTTATGAACATATATTACATTTATAATAAAAAAAATTTCAAGCAATTCTTAGCATATATTGTTTCCTGAAACTGACTCAAATAATGAAATAGGTGGAGGATTTCTTCCCATCAAAATGTGAATACTCATGAATATTTTAATTTATATTCAATAAATGGACAGCAGAGGGCATGAGAGAGTTTTCAGAAAAATGTACCCTAAACAAAGGATTCTGGAATTCAGCTTATGTGAAGAAAGCCCTAGGAACTTATTACTTTAATTATAAAATTAAAAGATATGTATCTTATGACTTCTAGTCTTCTTGTGAAATCTTAACTTAATAATCACAACTAATGACTAGCAGTACTGATAAGTATTTAATGAGTATGTAGGTCATTTGAAATACACGTTATGTGTTTCAATGCACATGAAAAGGAAAAAGGTTATTTAATGTTGTCAAATCTCCCCACTTTAAACACCTTGAGGAGTTGCCTACTTTACAATTATCTCAGGAAAATTCTTGAAATGGGGGATGTGAATATGCTTTGTATATTCAAGTGGTATCTGTTGGTGTGTGTATGAGTATGTCTAAGGTAATATTTGCTGCAACCAGAGTTTACTATACTAGAAAACTTCAAAAACTTGAGACTAGAGTTCTTGTATGTACTAATTCTTCATTCTACTTCTACAAGGTAGTAATAGTGCTTCAACAATCACAAAGTAGTAGCATTGATATCTCCTTTTTATATTGAAATGTAGTTGATATACAATATTAAATTGGTTTCAGGTGTCAATAGTGATTCAACAAAATATGAGTGTATTATATATAATTGTATTATATGTTATATGTAATTTGTAGTATATAACACTACGAAATGCTTACCAAGGTAAGTGGAGTTACCATCACCATATAAAGATATTACAATATTATTGACTATATTCCCTATGCTCTACTTTTATCCCTATTACTTATTTATTTTATAATTGGAAGTTTCCCCCTTTATGCCCTTCATCTATTTCACCGATTCCCCAACCACTTACCACATGGCAACCACCAGTTTGTTCTCTGGGTTTATGAGTCTATTTCTGTTTTGTTTGTTCATTTGTGTTATATTTTAGAGTCCACATGTAAGTATATAGTATTTGTCTTTATCTTATTTCACCTAGCATAATATTCTCTAAATCTATCCATGTTGTCACAAATGGCAAGATTTCATTCTTTTTTTATGGCTGAGTAACATTCCATTATAAATGTACCACTTCTTTATACATTCATCAGTTGATGGACACTTAAGTTACTTCCATATTTTGGCTATTGTAAATGTGGCAATAAACATAGAGGTGCAAATATTTTCTTGACTCAGTGATTTTCTTTTCTTCATGTAAGTTCCCAAAAGTGAAATT